TATCTAGACTGTATATATATATATATATATATATATATATATATATATATATATATATATATATATATATATATATATATAAATCGGTTAAAATGAAAGTAAACTTACAAAGGAAATGAAAAAATTAGGCAAACGTAACAACCAACCTTGTCATGCAGTCAACCGTGTTATTACTATTAATAATGACAATATTCAACTTTACATTGAACATTATCCAAAATGAAACACAAAATGTGAGTCTGCTTGTTCAAGTACACATGGTCATTTTTCTTTCTTTCTTTCTTTCTTTCTTTCTTTCACAGGAAGAAGAAATGTTTCGTCCCAATATGTTTTTCCTATTACTTCTACCGCCAATCATTTTTGAGTCTGGATACTCATTACATAAGGTAAACAATACTATAATATTAATAATTTTCGAAACGAAGAAAGAATCTGAACTGGAAGTGATAAAAAGAAAGACAGAATAGCAATAAAGCATGTATTTCTATTGCTTTCTCCTCACTGGCAGCACATGAGAACAAACATACAGCTTGACCAGTGTATTTCAGTTCACAACAGAGGTGCCTCAAAACTAAGCCGGTTTAGTGCACTTCGCCAGTATATGATATACCAGTAATAGCCTCTAGCGACAGTATGTGTGTAGTCTCTCCCTTACAACTTCATTACAGAACTTTGTAAATAAAAACACTAATCATTAGTTTTGTGGTCGTATTGGTTGCCCTCAAGTCATCAACTTTTGATATACATATGACTGTGATACTTTGGTCAATCAGTTGTTTATTCCGCAGGGTAATTTCTTCCAAAACATAGGCTCGATCACATTATTTGCCGTTTTTGGAACAGCGATCTCAGCCTTCATCGTGGGAGGGGGAATCTATTTCCTGGGACAGGTAATCTCTTTCTGTTTTGTTAGGCATTAACAGCTTCTCCCATGTCTTTCCATGTAAACAGACGTGTAAGTGAGTTCATTAAGTGGTTTATCCAGTTCGACTAGTTGGCACACCTTAACAGCTCCTTCGGTATGATTTCTCAATGATTATGACTGTTATGTTTCCATGTTTCTTTTCAATAGGCTGATGTCATTTACAAGATGACAATGACTGACAGGTGAGAATTTGGCTTGGGAAATTACTGAAACTATTGAGCAAAGAGGATTCGACATGTACATTCATGTCTTCCTTTTTTTTCTCTCCAGTTTTGCCTTTGGGTCTCTGATCTCTGCCGTGGATCCAGTCGCCACTATCGCCATATTTAACGCTCTGAATGTGGATCCTGTGCTCAATATGCTTGTGTTTGGAGAGAGCATCCTAAATGACGCAGTGTCCATCGTATTAACAAAGTACGCCAAACTCTCTTTCTTTCTTCCATAAATTTTTTCGACGATTTTACAACCCCTTGTGCTGAAACCTATGTGCAGCCCCATCCCTATTCTGCATGTTTACAATGAAATAAAATCAGCTCTGCACAGGCCTCTAAAACCTGCTGCTCTTGAACCAGGACCTATCAAGTACTATTATTGGCCATGGGTGGTATAATGTCCTCAACAGACCAAAACTAGATGACCTCAAAACTGCACAGCACCTGAAATGAAATGTTTTCATTTTTCAGTTTTGAGTTACTAGTCTATACTATACACCTCCGTGAAGTTGGCCCCCCACCCAACGCAAAACGTCGGCAAAATAGTCTCAATCGTTTGTGCTGGTTTGTGCTGTAAACATTTTCGTTTGTGCTGCTTTGGTTTTTTAGATATTAAAATAATATTTATAGGTCATTCTGAGGTCACTCAGCCCCCCAAAATACTCCAAATTCACCCCAAATATTCTCGTTTGTTTGTGCTTCGTTTGTGCTGGGTTGTGCAGGTAAAAGTTTAGTTTGTGCTGGTTTGTGCAGGTAAAAGTTTCGTTTGTGCAGGTAAAAGTTTCGTTTGTGCTGCTTCGGTTTTTTAGATATTAAAATAATATTTATAGGTCATTCTGAGGTCACTCAGCCCCCCAACATACTCCAAATTCACCCCAAATAGTCTCGTTTGTTAGTGCTTCGTTTGTGCTGGGTTGTGCAGGTAAAAGTTTTGTTTGTGCTG